AATTGATTCTCTAACAATGGATTAGAACATAGAAAAATTGGTCTTGTTGGAAGCAAGAATAAAATTAGAAATCAATTGTATTAACTAGTGGTGGATTCATATATGTAAAGGTCACAGATAGGAAAAACTCACATCATAGAGTTTAAATATGCAAACTTAGTGAAATTAGTTCAAACAAGACAATAATAAGCTAACAAACTTCATGTGAGAGCTAATCTAAAAAATATGAAAGAGACAATAATCTTGCTTAATTCACATGAACAATCAAAATAAAGAAATTAACCACATGTCTAGCTTGATCAAAATAATAAAACTAATTTAAATGTGTTAGTGAAAAACCTTACTAGATAACAAAAACTACAATATTACAATTGAAAAGAAAATAAAGAAAATAAATTTCTTCAAGGCTGAGGCGCGGACATCTCGCTCTCTTTAATGAGATTCAAGTCCAATGCAACAAATATTTTTCATCGTTCCAGCAATAGTTCTCTTTGACTTGTATCCTCCAGGATACAACAACCTATCAACAACTCTGAACAAGATTTGATTCTAAAACTCCACAAAACGAACACCTCCCTTCAATTAATAATAACTCTCTTTTTTACTTACTCTTTCACTCTATATTTTTCTCTTGTCTGTTGTGTGTACCAAATAAAATGAAGACCGCCACTATTTTAAATACAAGAAGTCTTCCTAGCAATTAATAGGAAGATAATGGAGGTAGTAAATAGCTAAGATAATGGCCTTAGGAGTTTCATAGGTTACAGTAGGACTTACATCGGTTACATAGATTACAAAGAGTAATTGAAGAATTAAGAATGAAATAAAGTGATGGATAACCAATGCTAATGGATGATGTAGAAGTCATCAATTCCAATGTTTATTGGAATGTTTTTTTCTCATAATGGATTCAGCCAATAAAGCTAAAAGTAATTGCTTTACATGGCTACCAAGTCAAAGATGAATACCATTATTAAATTGGTAGTTTAAGACACAAATGCCTACCAACGGTCATGCTTATAACTACAAAATAAACTAATTTAATATGTTAAATATTAAGATTAAAATGTCAATAGCCTAACAATCCCCACTCATTTTAATATTTTTATAAAAGAGTATATCAGTTGAAGGAAGAGCACTATGCATAATGAAGGTGTGGTCTGCATTGAACCTCTACTTAGTGAAACAGTAACTTTTACTGCAGAGTCGTAGTGGTCTCAGACTTGAAGTATGACTGCTTAAGGGAAATAAAATATCACTGCTCACACATAATAATCAAAGTGTTTACATGAGCTTTGACAGCCAACACATTATGGTCATGTGCTATCCCGGTTTCATGAGTGCATTTGAATGTAAGCCCCATTCTCATAGGAAGTGACCTACTTCCACACATCACATAGGTGAAATTTGTCGAGAGTGCTCCTGTAATATTAACACTCTACCAATACAACCTACATATATTCATTAAGAGTTTTATCAACTCAACCTTCATAAACTACAAGAAACAATGCACTCACATCATAGAGAGGGAATAAAAAGATAGTGCATTTTTCACAATAAGTCATCATATGATTAGTTTTTTCCTTTGAACCTGGTAATAGGATCTCTAGTACCCAAGTTCGGTTTCCTCATATATGACTCAAGGAATTATAGTCTTCAACCCCATCCCCCTCGATGTGACCAAAAATTTTCTCTTGTTAATGCCTTAGTAAGAGGATCTACAAGATTATTACATGATTTGACATAATTAAGAGTAATGGTACCATTTGTCAAATATAATCTTACATTACTGTGTTTCCTCCTTATATGTATGGATTTACCGTTGTAACAACGGTCTTGAACTCTATAAATTGCAGCGGTGCTATCACAATGAATTAAAATAGGAGGAATTGGTTCTTCAAAATAAGGAATTGAAACCAATAAATATCTTAACCAATTCGCTTCCTCACTAGCTGAAGCTAAAGAAATTAGTTTAGCCTCCACGGTAGAGATAGCCATTATAGTTTGTTTTTTTGACCTCCAACAAACAGCACCACCACCTAACGTAAATACATAACTAGTGATAGAATAGGAATCACATGATAAAGTGTTTCAATCTGCATCACAAAAGCCTTTAAATACACTAGGATTTTTGTAAAAAAAATAAACCACATTTTTTTGTTCCAATCAAATATCTCATAACTCTTATTAAAAAATGTCAATGTTCATTACCTGGCTTGCTTGTAAACCTGCCAAGTTCTCCTACTGCATATGCAATATCAAGCCTAGTGCAATCAATCACATATCTCAAACTTACGATTATACTAGCATATTACTTTTGATTTATCACATCATTTATATTTTCAATAGGAAATAAGTGAATCCTTGAATCAAAAGGAGTAACACCATGCTTTCAATCATGCAAGTTATATTTTTGAAAATATTTTCTCAATATAATGTGATTGGTCAAGGAAAATCCTCTCACGTGTTCTTGTTATTTTTATTCCAAGAATAAAATTTGTCTCACCAAGATCTTTCATATCAAAATGACTTCTAAGAACACTTTTAACTTCATCAATAACATTCAAGTTAGAGCCAAAGATCAACAAATCATCAACATATAGGCAAATAATCACATGTGAATTATTCAAAGACTTGTGATATACGCACTTATCACACTCAATTGTTTTAAAACCATATTTAATCATGCAGGAATCAAACTTATCAAGTTGTTGTTTTTGTGCTTGTTTCAAGACATATATGGATTTATTAAGTTTACATACTTTGCTTTCATGGCCTGCTTCAACAAAACGCTCGGGTTAATCCATTTAAATTTCTTCAATTTATGTCTCCATTTAGAAAAGCAGTTTTTACATCCATTTGACGAATTTGCAAATCAAAAATTGCAGGCATAGGCAACTAAAAGTCTAATGGATTTAATTCTTGTAACCGTAGAAAAAGTATAAAAAATAATAGGCCTTCTAGTTGTTTAAAACCTTTTGCAACTAGCCTAGACTTTTATTTATCAATAGAATCATCCGGTTTCAACTTTTTCCTTAAGACCCATTTGCAACAAATTATTTTACAACTCGGTGGTAAATCAACTAATTTCAAAGTTTTATTAGAAATTAGAAATTACATTCTATCATTTACAGCCTCTTTCCAAAAAATAGAATCATGTAATGCTTCTTTCAAAGTTAGATGGTCATTTTCAACATTAAACACATAGGAAACTACACAAAAATATTTTTTTACTCTATCTCTTTTACTTCTTTTTATCTCAAAATCATCAACTTCTTTAATTTTCAAAGTAGAAGTAGAAGAACTCAGTAGTGACAAAATATTTTGTTCAATTCCTTGACCCCCACTATTTTTAGAATCAAAAGGAAACTTGTTCTCAAGAAAAATAGCATCACATAATTCTATCACAATATTATCTTCAAGATTAAAAAATATATAGGCTACACTATTTGAAGCATAACCAAGAAAAACACAAGTAGTAACTTTCTTAGCCAACTTTGTAATCTTGGGATCCATTAGCCTCACAAAGGCTAGACAACCTCAAACTCTTAGATATCCTAAACTTGACTTGTAACCTTTCCATAATTCAAAAGGTGTCAATTAAGACTTTTTATGAGGCACACGATTCAACACATAACAAATAGTAAAGAAAGATTTACCCCAAAAATTTAAAGGGGCGTGTGACTCAACAAGCATGGCATTAGTCCATTCAACAAAAGTTCTATTTTTCCTTTCTGCTACTCCATTAGATGAAAGAGAGTAAGGAGTAGTAGTTTCATGAATTATTCTCAATGATCTTACAAAAGAATTATACTCATTTTCTTCAAATTCACTACTTCTATCACTACTAGTTCTTTTTATTTTTCTTCCAAATTAATTTTCAACCTCATTGAGATAAGTTTTGAAATTTTCAAAAGCATTACTTTTAATTTTCATCAAGTAGAATATGTAAACTTAGAAAAATAATCAATGAAAGTGATAAAATATATATTACCTCCACGAGTTTGAACCAAGTTCACAAATATCAGTGTGAACTAAATTTAACAAATCAATTTTTATTTCAACTTGAAAATGAGGCCTTTTAGTGATCTTGGCTTTACTACAAGCCTCACACTTTTCAAAAAAAAATTTAACCATTGGGATTAATCATAAACTACTCATGATTCCAACATAACGATCATTAATATTACACAAACGAGCATGCCAAAAATTAGTAGAAGAAAGCATATGAAAAGAAGTAGAAGTTTTTTTTCATTTCAACATTCAACTTAAACATACCATCACATGCATACCCCTTACCCACAAAAATACCTTTATTCACTATTACATATTGATCAGATTCAATAATTTGTTTAAGCCTTCTTTATTAAGAAGAAAACTAGACATCAAATTTTTTCTCATAGAAGGAGTATAAAGTACATCTTTCAATGTTAATACCCTTCCAGAAGTAAAACACAATTCAACATCTCTCTTTCCAAGCACTTGAGTAGTGTGAGCATCACCAAGCATGATGGTTTTGGGCTCCTCAAAATGAGTATATTTTTAAAACCAGTCTTTGTCATAATAGACATGACAGTTTGCACCTGAATCAGTCCACCATCCATCAACATTCTCAACCATGTTTATATCGGTAATCACCGCCACAAAAGCTTATTCGATAACGTTTGCCTGAGGTTTAGGATCACATTTTTGGAATTCGCAAAATCTAGCAATATGCCCACTCTTGCCACAAACAAAGCATGGTACCTTTTCTTGAACTTGTTGATTTTGTGCTTGGTGATTTTCCCCGTTATTTTTCTTGGGAGGTCTACCACTATTTGTATTGAATTTTTTATTCTTAGTCTTCTAAGAAGTATTTTTGTGAGTTTTAGAAGTAGCATTATTCGAAGTAATTAAATTTACCTTCGTTGTGATATTGTGCTTTTCTGTTTGTAAAAGTGCATCTTCGCCCCTTGCTTCTTCTTCCATGCTGATTTTCATTATCAAGGTTTCAAGAAAAGTTTTCGTTTGTTTGGGGCACATAGTTTTTTGAAATTTCTTCCAAGAAGGTTAAAGTTTATCTACTATGCCACAAAAAATAAGGTTATCCTCAATTTTAACCTCTTCGGACCTAAGCTCTCCAACAATCATGATAAAGTCTTGAGCTTGCTCTACCACTGATTTATTGTCCACCATTTGGAAATGAAAAAAGATCTACTAGCCGCATTTTTTTCGCTCCCGCCTCTTCGGTATCATACTTACTATGCAATGCTTTCCAAATTTTCTTTGCACTAGAGTAAGTTCTGTCATAATAATCATAAAAATTATCAGACAGCCAATTAAGAATATAATACCAACACTTACAAGAATCTCCATTACACTTTTTCACTTTTTCTAGATGAGAAATAGTTTCATCATCATTCATAGAAATTTTGTCTTATTTATTAGGAGTCTTCTTAGTTAATACATAAGAAATATTGAGAAGAATTAAGTAGAAAAGTACTTTACCCTTCCATCTCTTAAAATGGTTACCATTGAACAGAATTGACTTGTTAAGGTCTCCCATCTTGACTTCCACGATTTTTTCAATTGTAGCCATCTTTGAATTCACCTTAAAATTATTAGTGAAAAAACTTACTAGGTTACAAAAAATACAAGATTACAATTGAAAATAAAATGAAAAAAATAAATCTCTTCAAGGATGAGGCGCGGACATCTCGCTCTCTTTAAGGAGACTCAAGTCCACTGCAACAAATGTTTTTCACTGGTCCAGCAGTAGTTCTCTTTGACTTGTCCCCTCCAGGATACAACAGCCTATGCACAAAAGATAACTCAACAACTCTGGACAAGAGTTGAGACTAAAGCTCCACAAAAAGAACACGTCCCTTCAACTAATAATAACTATCTTTTTGACCTACTCTTTCACTCTATATTTTTCTCTTGTGTGTTGTGTGTACCAAAAAAAAATGAATACCACCATTATTTATAGTACACGAAGTCTTCCTAGCAATGAATATGAAGATAATGGAGGTAGTAAATAGTGAAGATAATGACCTTAGGAGTTTCATAGGTTACAATAGGAGTTACATAGATTACATAGGTTTCAAAGAGTAATGGAGGAATTAAGATTGAAATAAAGTGATGGATAACCAATGTTAATGGATGATGTAGAAGTTATCAATTTCAATATTTATTGGAATGTTTTTATCTCACAATTAATTCAGCCAATAAAGCCAAAACTAATGGCATTAGATGGCTACCAAGTCAATGATGAATAGCATAGTTGGTAGTTTAAGACACAAATGTCTACCAACGTTCATTCTTATAACTCCAAAATAAAGCAATTTAATATGTTAAATATTAATATTAAAATGTTAATAACCTAACAAAATGTAAGAAGCATTCCGAACCTTGATCAATACAAGAGAAAGCTACCAGCTAATGCTAACACAAACAAACTCAATTTTATTCAAAAGTCATCATTTGGACAGAATCGATCTTTGATTAATACTGCCAGCAAGATGTTACTTTTTTTAAAAAAAAAAAAATGGATCAGTAGATGCTCCAACTTAAGGCTTGTAAAACAGATTGGAGAAATCAGGCTTTGACAGAAAGGATAGGTGATAGTCTTTCTTAATACAGAAGATGACTTTTAAGGAAGAAAAAACATCTTAACATTGACATGGATCCTTAAGTATAACCACTGAACATATTTCAGAGGATTACACATACAAATCGTATGACTACCTCACTCAATGACATACAATTTAATCAGAACTAGCACAAGTCCATAATCAATGGATAGAAGAAATAAAAACAATTTCAGCTTAATCTTGACCAAGTAAACTACACGTTCATATAAACCAAAAGAGGAAAGAAACATAACATTTAAGCATCATAAAAAATGTAATTAAACTACTTTACAAATATACAACCCAAATGATAAACTATACCAAAACGGAGCAAAAAAAAAAGAAAGAAGATTACCTTGTTTTGGTAAGCGAACCGGACAACAAGTTTGGACGGAGTTGATTCCACCTCTTCAAATCGAACAAACTTAAAAGTTTCAAACTTTTAAACTGCTAAGAAAAGAATTCCAAAACCTTTTTAGGGGAACTCTCAAATGTCAAAGTCCGTCCTTGAATAGTGAGGAGAAGGACTTCCATAGCACCCAAAATCTCCATATTCTGAGTGTATTTTCGACGTGAGAGGATCAATTTTTTTAAAAAATTTCTTTAGGGATAAGGCTCTAGTGAGCTGGAAACATACGAACAGTACAAATTTATAACGAAACTGGAAAAGAAAATCGCAATTGGAAGGATAGTTCCGTTGATAAATGCATTGCTTGAAGCTTGAAGTGTCTTTCGGCTCGTGCTACGCATGCGGAGAATACGATTTAGAGGAGAAAAGAGGAAAACGAATGATGAAATTGGGAATTAGTGATCATTCTTGTTGGAGTTGTGCGGGTTTGGGGGTTGTTGTTTGTTGTTGAAGAAGAAGAGGAAGAGTGGAAAAGAGGGGCGCGTAAAACTGAGTCGCTGCGTTCTTTTGGAAAGAAAATAAGTATAGTTGGCACGTGAGGAAAACAGGGAAATAACTAGATGTGTGGGGTGATTTATTGAGAAAGTAGACCTAAATATTGGACCCAAATAAATGTATTTTCTCAAGAAATTGAATTTGAAGAAAACGTTTCGAAACGAATTAAAATTATTTAAACGAGCTACTTAATTTAACAAGATAAAATAATTACTTTGAAATTAAAGATTGGCTATACCAATAAATTCATGAATTAGTCAATTTTTTTAGAGAAATAAATTATACTCAATTAAAACTACTATTCCTTTTTTTTTTTTTGGTAAATTGATTTTTCTTAAATATTCATAAAAAATGATAAATATATAAATACACATATCATAAATACAAAAATATATAATCTATATGAAAAATGACAAAAATGCCTTTAAAATAAATTTCGAAAGAATTTTTTATTTTCCAAAACAATTATTTTAATTTTTTTTGAAATTGGAGAAGCTTGAGAATAAATTAAATTATGGAGGGTCGAAATTGGGTGTCAACACATACCATCAAGAATCTCTAAGACATCATCTACAGTGTTAAACATGTAATTCCGGTCTAAACGGGAACCATCCCAGTATTTAAACACAAATCACGGCCACTCATGGACAAACATGTAACAATCTCATTAAGAAGTAGTAAACATAGTTCTCTCATGAAACCACACATACAAAAGGTTGATATGAAATGTACAAGGCGTGCTACCAAAGACAACCATTAATTATTTTGACCCCCATGGTACCCAATCCAACTATTACTACACACAACACATGGTGACGAGCCTACAATATGAATATTTTGTACCAAGAATGGTACTCGAGATAACCATTCAAACCCAATCGTAAAACTTGAGTAAGCAAAGTACCTTCATCGCATGACATAGTCAATAATTAATAACTTCACATTAAGCCCCTACAATTCCCCTAACATGAAATTATACAAGTTTCACTATAGAGATAGTTAGAATGCATACATAAAAAAAATGGAAAACAATAACCATCATTCACACTCGGAAGCTCTTTCCAAGAAGCTTTCCACTTGGAACCCGATTACACACCACTCATTATCCCTCAACATCCCACCCGAAATCATCGAAAGGTTAAAATTAGTTAATGAAACTCCTTATCATCTTAAACCATAACTAACGCTGTATTAAGTCATTCAAACTCCAAGATCTAAGGCCTATACATGTAATCTCCAACAATTTACAAGGTACAAACTAAGTGAAGATAGATCTAACTACTTTGTAAAAATCTAGCCTATATGGATGTCAAGAAATCGTAGAAGAACTTTAAACACGAGTTTCTAGCTCCGTGGGAGAGAATCCTCAAGATCGTAGATAAAATATTTGTGGGTATCACCCACCTTACGCTCGCATCCTCTCTCTCCCGCATCCTCAAGCATTGAATAGTTTTTGGGAGGGTCTTTGGAGTGACCATCAATTGTTTTACCACTACAGAGACAGAGAACAATTAAAATAAATACATTTCTGAGTTTCTTCCTCGATGACCCCTACATAGTGGATATCACGCTTCCATACTGAGAAAGCTCTTACTATGGAGGAATAACTTTTTCGGAGTGTAATTTTGTAATTCTTAGGTTTTTTTATGTCATTCCAATTTTAAATTGACACATCGTTTAAAGGAAATATTGGGACTCCGCTCTAGATGTCCTTTAAATAGCGATGAATGAGGTTGTTACAAGAACAGTCCCAATATATTGTTATGGGATTGAGGAAAAATTTCTTACATAAATCTAGAAATAGGCAAATGCATTTATGATCAACTTGTATTCCAATATAAAAGAAAATATATAAATCTTTGCCAGAGGCATGGAAATAGAAATGTAAATCAATACTAGGAGATGCAGTTTCATAGATCATGAATAAATGAATTTAATTTATACGAGACTTCACGTGTGAGGAAGGTGTATGCTTCATGTTTTCTCGAAAAAGTTTTTGGGTATCACTGATTTGGATATAATACTCTCACCGATTTGGATATTATGGTATGTTGTCATTTTGGGAACTGAAGTTTTTTCCGACCATAGAGTAATCAATGCTCCATAGATGATACTTTGAAGGTCAATTAGATTGATCGAATTTCGGTGATTTAATCGATTTCCTGATGAAAACATGCAACTAGTTGATGGGGTTAAATTGAAAGACTAGGGTTTCTTCGCCTTAAACATACACACGAAGAATTGGAGAAAGTTTACAAATAAAGAAAGATGATTTCGTCTTTTTGCACCCTCATGTCAACGGCACAATCATCAAACTTGTGTTTGATATTGTGTTATGGTGTAACTCATACTCCATTGGAAGTTGGGAGTAGAAAGAATTTTTTGAGTTTGAGATCTGATATGTTTAAGGCAATGATATATATGTTTTAAAGTCTCCAATTAGGGAGTCAACAACTTTATTTTGTAAAAATATTGAAATTTATTGCATTCATTCCCCACCCCTCCCTAAGTTTCTTAGTAAGTCTCCCCTACTATCCCTTGTATCCCTTCCTCCCTCTACCTCTATGTGTAGAAAATCAATTGAAAAATCCTTCCCATCATGATTCATGAAGTAAAATACAATAAATATATTCTAATGTAATTGACACGTGATAATCGTTTGAAGATCATATGAGATGACACTTGTGGCCTAATTCATTTATATATATATATATATATATATATATATATATATATATATATATATATATATATACCAACACCAAAATTTAAATATATTATAATAAGTTAAAACCATAAACGTATTGCTAGAAGATAATAATTTTACTTAAAAATAAAATCTTACTGCTTGAATTTCATTCTTAAGACATTATCTAGGATCCTCTTCTTAGATATATTCAAATTAATTTCTATTTTTCATTTTAGTTTTGTGTAATGTTATATATATATATATATATATATATATATATATATATATGAAAGAAAAAATGATTAATTTACTTTTTTGGTGTCCTCGCCCTTGAATAAATCACTTTAGTAAAAAAAAATCAAGTACTAACTATACTACAAGAAAAAATCAAGTACCCATAAATTGTCCAACTCCCACTATGAATCACATGGTTAATAGTAGTTTTCTTTTCAACTTAAATCGTGCACTTTATTTCCTATTGAAAGTGAATTACTTTAGAAACAAGTAAAGATGAAACTTGGAATTTATTAGAAAAACGATAGGCATAAATAGTGAAACAACTATAAACACAACTATAACTTTAACGATATGATCCCAAATATGCAACAGAAAAAACAAAAAGTTAGAATCATAATTATAATTATTAAAAACACATAGTTGTAACTAAAACTTTCACAATCAAAAAATATTTTTTAAAATTAGACATTTTTTATGATTATCATAATCACAAGTTAACTAGGGGAAAACTCATAGTTTCAATTACAACTTTCATAATTACAATTATGAAAGAAATAATAGTCGCGATTGTGATTTTCATATAACTATATGAAAAAATTCATAATCATCTTTAGTTGTGGATTTAAAAAAATGAGTATTAATCTCAATAGCGTAAATCCAATATCAGTCCCAACATTATAATAGTTATATTATAAATTAATTTTGTCTAATTAATTAAAATTTTAATTTCTATGAATATCATGTCTAAATGAGTTGATTCAATATACGCATATCTCCACTCCATCTTTTCTCCGTTCATTCAACTTTCTTAAATCTCTTATTACTTGTCTTCCCTATCATTTCACTATTTCAATCTTTTTAACATAATCTTCTATTCTATCAAAATATCTCTCTTTTATTTGCTTATATGTACTTTTTTTTATATTGAATATGATAATATACACCAATTTCAATTAAAAATATGTGATATACATTATATGTTTACTAATGTATTGAATTTAAAATAAATGAATATTGAATGTACTAATATATAATGATATGTATATGTACAATTTCATGTATATATACACACATACACACACACTTGGGAAATATGGTATGTGCCAGCACAGGCCCAACATTATCAAAATTGATATTACTACCTTTTATTTAACTATTGAATATTTCATTACATATATATTGGAAAGAATATATTTATAGTCATATGTTTTTATATCTATGGTGGTATAATTACATTGTAACATCATCTTATCATATTAAAAGTGGGAAACCTAAACATGAAAAGTTGAATTACCAAATTACCTATTAAATATTGAAAAACTATTTATCCTTTTAAAACTTAAAAAGTTAAGTTGTCAACTTTAATTTGCATCCCATTTCATTTTTCATTTTTCCACTATAACTTCAATTCAATTTACGTCATAAATCTAATGGTCGTTATTAAAAATATAATAGTTTGTTAAAGTCGTGCATTACAAACCAAAGAGATACATATGGAAATGTAATGACAATGACAATGTCAATTATGCATGTGTCTGTGAGGGTTAAGTACAAGGATCTAAAATTAGAGTGTTTTCTAATCGAAAAATTTTAATATGTATGAGGCATATATATGATGTGACCGACAAAACTTGTATGAGACTCTACGTATAATTTGTCAAGAAGATAATTCGGTTCCATTTCAGAAAATGATTCAAACTATCCTTTCTCTCTCTTCCCTTATAAAGTATTTCCCCTCTTTCTTACTTTTTACTTGTTTTTTCTTTGATTTCTTTCCAATCATTTGTCTAATTGAACTTCTATTATTTAATAGTTTTTCATCCTGTTTCTAACATTGTGATATTATTTTTTTATACTTATATTGATTATTTAAATTGCTAAAAAATAATTAGAATGGAATTTTTATATTTGCTCCTCTTTAAATAAGCAATACAAGATATGTCTGATGTCATATCATATTGTAGCATCTATTTTTTATGAATAATAATAATAACACATAATAACTAAGAAGAGTTCTAATGGATCATTTTTTCCTTGATATACAACTTTTATTAGTTTGATAAAATGTAACGTGCAGTAATTTATATATATATATATATATATATATATATATACTACTTAGTTATCAG